CTCAAAGGGTCAGAAGACCTCTGCTGATGATGTAGCTTCTATGATACATAGAAATAGAGTAGGGGACATGAGGGACAGCAAAATGGCACTCCACCCTTTGCTCCTGCTAGGTGTTGCTGCCAGGGAGATATGCTGCCCCATCAGGTGCAACCTCCTCCTCCATGCGCGCTCACCTTCCTCGCTGGCCACACCAGCAACCCACCACTGCCAGTCTCACCTTGGTGCGCCTCTTCCCTGTGCCCATTCCCATGGCAGGAGCAGCCTCACCCTTTGAAACGTAAATAACTGAATTTCTGTGCAAAACTTTTAAAATCTTTATCCTCTGATTCCTCTTCAGTCCATTACGGTGTTATTAACTACTATGATCTCTAATAGCATAAAGATGTAAACACTTACTTGTTCACAGCTTTATATATAACAGATCTCAGAGAAGGCTGTTGGGTATGTGACATTAAAAACTGAAAACAGAAAAGAACAAAAGAGCAAAACCAGAAGTATACTGAATTACAGTATGAAAAGGAAATCTATTTACACACATTAATCTATACAACATCATAGTCTGTACATTTTGTAAAAAATAGTCACATTCATTTACATAATCTTTAATTTTTACCATACTTGACAGATAAAAAGTTATTGATGAAGATGAAAAAAGCATTTCAAAGCAATACTCATACTAATGTGCCAGGAAAAAAAAGCTGCAGGTTATCATAAACTTTAACTAGAGTGCTCTGGGAAATAAAAGGGGTTAGAACATTTCAATCACTAGTTCAGCTGACAATGGAAATGTTACTGACTTAGATTTAACTACCTACTGTTGTTGTTGGGTGGAACCAGGTTCAACGTGGGGTGGTTAAACTTTATCAAGGAAACCTGCTTTTAACTGTTACCCTGATGTACTCTGTTACACATGTTAGAACACCTTTTTGTTGGGTTTTTTGGTTTTTTCATCAACAGAACAGCACTGCATACTAACTTCCGCTATTTGGTTATGTCAGGGTAGTACTGACAGCCCACAGCTTTTATAGGCACTCTTGGTAATGTGAAGGTACTCATGTTAGTAAAAGTATTTATTTCCTGTATCACTATGCAGAGACAACAATTGCTCAGGCAATAACCCTTATATACATAGCAGCGTTCTCTGCAGGTTACTTGTCGGTTCTTCCTTTTTCTCAGACATAGTTAATGCTTGATTCTTCATCAGAGATGTCTGAAAAAATTCTGTATTAAGTGAATTTGGACTTTGTTTACAATTGCTTTGCTGAAATGGACAAATTCACAGTCAACAGATGTCTTTTAGAACTCACAAAAATAGGAGACGAATAATGCAAGTGACTCATCTTAGTCCTTACACATGTAGTGTGAGACATGCACTTGGCAATGCCTTATTTCATAAAGCTGTTCCAGACAGATTCTCTGGTTTGCTGAGGGTCTGTGTCTGTTGCTTTCCCCTTCATCATGGCAAAGGCAAAGGGAAGCCTCTTTGGGGTGCATCAGGACATGAAGTAGATGCTACAGAGTGGGGCAGGCTGCCTCCAACTTGACTGGAGAAGGCTTTTTGTAATGCCTTTAGCCTCCAATTAGTTACCACTGCTACAGTACAGTTCCAACATATGCTTAAACTGAGTAGTTCCTCAGCTGGGAACCTGCAGCACCCATCACCATGTGGTTCAGGCGCATCTGTTGGAATCCTGTGCACTCCAGGATGGAGTGCATGGAGTTCGTTCTTACATATATGTCAAATTCTTAAAATTTCATGAAAGCCAGCACTGTGGCTAAAAGGGCACTCTCTATATTCCTAAAGCACATTAATGCACCTGACCTGGACACCAAGGCCAACGTGTTTCAGAAAGGTACAAGTTTATATGGCAAAAAGCATGCCAGCAATAATTCCATTGCATGTCAATAACCCGTTTCTTGTCAGTAAAAAAAGACTATGTGAAGCCCAAGACTTCAAAGGTATGACCAGCTGAACTGCAAGTGGGAGTAGGAAATATGGTCAATGGTGTGTGCATTTCTTAGCTTCTTTTGGTTGAAGCTATTATGAGTCGAATGGACACAGTAGAGAATCAAGTATAATACTGGAGAAAATGCCTTGCTGTCAAAATTTGAAATCCCTGACATGCTTAGTTTCTCAGAGAGGAAATCAAGACATGATTTAGAGTAATTTTCAAAAGATTCACATAAAGGAAACTTCTGGTAGTCTAAAGCACTTTGTTTTACCATATGTCCCTTCTACAAAAGACAAAAAGCAAAACGCCTAACCCAAAACACGAAGCAATTATTGAAAGCTGAAGCCAGGCAAATTAAAATAGAACATAAGGCTCCTGGCTTTATAAGAGAAGGCAGTCAGCCACAGGGACACCCTTCCAAATGAACTGAGGGATCCTCCACTGCCTGTACTTTTGAATCACCCTGCACATTTCTCAGAGAATAACTTTGGCCAATACAAATTACTTGGCTTAAAGAGGAGTATCTGGGTAATATCAGCCAGATAACCGAATAGCCTTTTCTGGAGTGATTCAGTTTACCTAATTAGAGATGTAGAGTAAGAAATCTAAGTACTAGCCAGCCACCCTGGGTTCATTTTACAGTAAGTATAGAGAAAAAGGATGTTTCAGCTTACCTACCTTAAATGCCCAGCTGAACATGGGATCAATCATCTTCAACTAGTGCCTGTTTCCCTAGGATGACTACAGAAGGCACTGAAAAGGACACTTTAGCTCGGACAGGGACATCCAGCTTTTAGATACTGAAACCAGGGCAGATGAATTTCACCTGGGTTTATTGAGCACTTAGCAGAAATCAACTTTGCAGAGGAAAATTTAAGTCAACACTCACTATATATTCAGATTTTGATCATGGTTAGTGACTGGAGAGTAATCTGTGTCCCTCAGACACTGGCAGCAGGTAGTGCTGACAGAAATCACTCACGGTGATGCCCTGCCCTTCGTTGTCTTGTGTTTCATTACCCCCTACGTGAAAAGTAGAATCCAGTTCAAATGCATCTGCGTCCTGTTAAAGGAAACTGCTGTTTCATTGAAACCTAAAATGCATTTTCTTATTTAAGCTCTTCTGTTCTATAATCCAGAAATCATTAAAATGCAATTTTCTCCATGCTTGTCTAATTAGAACAAAGACAGTTTTCTCTAGGATACAAGGAATTATAAACAAGTATAATTGGTGATGCATCATGCAGACAGATTGATGGAACCGACTGCTTGAAATCTCTATTTCTATACTATTATCCTGTCTGTGTGCCAACTCACTCAAAGAACCTCCTTTGAACATAAAGATGAGTATGCTTGTGAGTATGCTTGAATTCTTGCCAAGCATGCCTTTCTACCCAAGAAATCTGGGTAAAAAAGTACATTCTACATGTCTCGTCTCAGGGAGCTGAGCAGTCCCAATGCCACTTCAGACAAAGAAGCCTAAAGTGCACAGATGGCTTTAATTTAGGTCTAGGAGCAGCCCCCAAAGCTCCAATATGTCTTCATATATTTGTAGTTAAGAATTTGTTGATAAGAGTGTTCAGAGATCCAAGAAAAATAATAAAATCTAGCAGTGGTTTCTGAGTCTAAAACCTAATATATTTGGGTCTCAGTCGAATATATTTGGGAATATATTTAAATACATGTATGTATCTTTAGATCTTTATTCCTCATGGGACTGTCATCATATAGCCTACTTCACTCCAGAATCTCAGTTACTTCACCAAGTGACAGCAGAAAACACTCTGAATGACTGGAGGTGATCAATAGCTTCTTTAAAGTCAAATTTGGCAAAGTAACAATTCATCAGGTGATCACTGTTTAACGCAAATGATACCTATTACAGAAAGGCTGGTGTCACGTAATATTCACAATGTTACTCGTTCTGTAGTAATCACATGAACCATGGGGCCTTTTCTATCTTTGCTCTGACATTGTGTTGTATTGTACAATGACTTTGTATTACTCCAGGGTAATGCCACTAAAATAAACAGTGTTCAACTGATAGGTATCTAAATTCAATCAGACCAAGAGGTGTATGGACAGTTTGACAGCTGCCAACACTATTCCCAGTACTCGTTTTCAAGAATATACATGTATGCCTGCCAAGACATGCCCTTGCTGCTGTTCTCTTTACCTGGCAATGTCATGACCTTGGGTTTTGCTGGCTCCATACAATCTGTTATCAGAAATATGAGGGCAATTGCTTTTACGGATCAGGAGTACTCATGCAAATATATATTATTCCCACTTGCTATTAAAAGTGGACATAGTTAAACATGACATGGGAACTAAACATCATTTGGTTTATTTCTTTTAAAGAGTGCAAATGTCCTGTGTATATTTATAAGAATCTGTCAGTTTGTCAGTTCTACGTCTTTTGCGTTTTTTTACAAAGTGGCTACATAAGAGGCTTGGCCTTGTTGAGAATTCTTTCTATTTATGCCTTTTATGGTAAGTTTTAGGGATTCTGTCTAATTTTTTTTCCCCGGAGTCATGGTCAGGGCTAAATTTTAAATCAGCTCAGATAGATACAGAATAGAACTAAGAATTTACATTATTCCTTAAATGGGATTTGTAACTTTGTCGCACTATACCTTGGTTTAGCTGCCAAGTATGTGGTTCCAGAGAAATATTTAAATGAAACTATCACATAAAAATTGTATTTTCAATGTGTAATATGCTGTCCAAAGCTGTTTATCCTATGCCTGACTGCTGTAGCAATAAAGCAGCTCTTCAGAAAACTGCTTAATAAAAGATCAACACAAATCTCTGATTTTAAAAAGAAGAAAAAACCTGGTGATTGCGACAGTACTATTAGAAAATGGTGATGTTTTAATCAAAACTATCACAGTAACCTTTTCTGACTGCAAAGGTAGCCCTACTTTCTGCATCTAAACATAAAACCAGGCACTTTTGAAAGGAGCAACAGGACTGGAATCAAACTCTGTAGAAAGTCATCTCTGAAATTTATACTATTAGCCAAGATCTTGCTTTTGGAAAAGCCCACCTTTTTGCATCTGTATAAATGATGTTCATTATTTCCTGCATTGGCACACTAAACACCTAGTGTGGTTAATTACAGTCTTACATTTCTTTATTTTTATTCTGTTTTCCATAACTGGGAAAGAATTTCCTACTCCTTAAGGAAATAAATGTTTCCTTAAGTATAAGTAAAGTGTAAGAAATTTTCTTGCTTCCCATCTTAACCTTTGCAGCATGTACCAAAGTAGTCTGCACTGAACAGGATACCATACATCTTTCTTGCAGGCATGTTGAAGGGTAAAGGGACCATTATAGCAAATGAGTTTTTGAACAGTTACAGCTAGTAAACAGCAAGAGAACATCAGAATTAATACGAATACCATTCAAAAAAACCCAGAAAGCATCCATGAGGCAGGTGTCTCTGTTATTAACTGGTTGGCTGCACAAACCAATTTCCCACATACCAACATGTTGAAAAACAAAGCACTAAACTCTACATTTTCTGAAGTATCACATCAAGCTGCATAATGAATGGTATATCCCACAGTGTCTCATGTTTTGGGGGACCTAGCTTATTTATATCATGGTGGTCTCTGTCTGCATAAATGAGTGAGCCCTTGAATTCCGGTGGAGCTGAGAAACACTTTCTGATCCATTCCGAGAAATCGAGGAGCTGTGGAGCCTGTAATCTCTGCCTGCTGTCTGCTTCCAGCACAAACTCCGCCACTTTCTTTTCAGCTCCCCTTGCACCTGTTTTAAATGAAAATGCACAAGATGAACTGAAAATGTTCTTTTACACGGGGAACTTTTCCACGTTTAATGCATGTCAGATGGGGACCTCTAGGAGCAGAATCACAGAATGGTTTGGGTTGGAAGGGACCTTAAAGATCGTCTAGTTCCACCCCCCCTGCCAGGGGCAGGGACCCCTTCCACTAGAGCAGGTTGCTCCAAGCCCCGTCCAACCTGGCCTTGAACACTGCCAGGGACAGGGCAGCCACAGCTTCTCTGGGCAACCTGTGCCAGGACCTCAGCACCCTCACAGGGAAGAATTTCTTCATAGTATCTGATCCAAATCTACCCTCTTTCAGTTTAAAACAATTCCCCCTTGTCCTATCACTACATGCCCTACGAAGAAGTCTTTCTTCATCTTCCTTATAATGCCCCCATTTTATACCAAAAGGCTGCAATAAGGTCTCCTGAAAGCATTCTCTTCTCCAGGCTAAATAAGCCCAACTCTCAGCCTGTCTTCATAAGAGAGGTGCTTCAGCCTTCTGATAACTTTTGTGGCTGTACTTTGGAGTCACTCTAACAGGTCCATGTCATTCTCATACTTACTAAATATTACTAAATAGTGCTTCAGATTTTGGATAAGTTTCTAGGCTTGTTGTGCCTTGCTTGCCCAATCCACACTGCTTGTAACAGAGCTAGAATTAGATCACACTAAGTAAGAGAAGATGCACTTACTAACACCTTGGTTTGCAAGGAATTAAATTTCAAAGTGCTCTTACCTCTTCACCACAATTAACTAATTTCTCCTGTTGCATCGAAACTGCCACATATACTGTAAATAGAAATGTAAACATCTCCTAAACCAGTTTTATGTATCAAAGCAGAATTATAGGGGCATTTATACATTTACTGAAAGCAGTATTTAACATCCTCAGTAGGAAAGATGAGACTTACTTCACTGTTCAAAAAACAATACAGGACTGCAACAATCAACCCCTGGAAAGAGACAACATTCCTCAATTAGTAGGCAGCACCAAAATAGGTCAATCAAACCTCTTTTGAATAAAAGCTTTAAAATTTACCTGAAAAGATCCCAAACACAACTCAAAGATTATTTTATAATAATTGGAACTGCGGTCAGGAAACAGAGCGAACACTGTGTAGTGAACTCCAAACAACGGAATAAGCAACAACGTGGATTTTGCAAGTCTCCTGGGTAAATAAAAGAGAAAAAGCTGGAGTTTAACAGTAAGCTTTTGTTTTACTCTGATAAGAACCTGATGCAGTGTCGTTTACATAAACCTCGTATAACTTCAGATTTATAAACAGCCTTAGTAAGAGTCATTTAATGCAAATTGTTTTCTTTTCAGGCTTGCTATGAGATTAGCCTTACAGTAACGTCATAAATTAATGTGTGCAATTTCGTGTTATACTTGATCTTGCTGACTTGCACTCTTCCAAAAGATAGTAAAAGGCTGCAAGGCCTCTCTAATCCAAAAAAACTTTTTTCAGGTGCCCTCTGTACAGCAGCAGGGTATAGGACCTGCCTTCTGTTCTGTTTCTCTGACACACATGCAGTTGCCAGACTGATTTCTTAGCATGGGTTTTGGAGTTGGGGTCTTACTGCACTGTTCCACGGCTTTATTCAACAAAGTGTCACAAGCTGTCATCAGATGTCTCAATGTACTTTTTACCTGGCATAAAGGGTACAGAGTGGAGAAGAATAATGCGTTCCTGCAAAGTCATGCTTACAAATCCTTTTGTACAGGTGCCAAAATCCCTCTTTTGAAATTAACTGATGTTAATTTCATTTAAATGTGCAGCTGAATGGTTAGTTTGTACATTGCACACACATGGTATACAAACAGTATGTATGAAATGTAATCCAGAATAACCTTAACTGAGATTTTCATGAGCAATTTCAGATTTACCCTCAAACACTAACATCTCATAACTATAATGATTGTCTTGGGCATATACCGTTAACTAATTTTTAACACCAATTACATAATACATTTTAGCTCAAGACAGTACTGAAGGCAAGGAAGGGGAACTTTAAATTATTAAGCAGAGCAGGTCTGACAAACTGCCTGTGAGACCACTGAAATCATGAATTGCTAATTATCCCTCATCTGTCACTTACTTCAATCTAACCACATCAGTTTTATATATTATACAGGGCCAGTCATGCATGATTATGGGTGTCTGGTATCAGATGAAATTCAAGTAGATACAATGTTGAGTCCCTTAATTCATCACTGTCTTGATGAATATAACTTGATTCAACAATGAAAGGATGCTGCTCTGAATTCACCTATTTTAACAGAAAATCAAGGTATTTCAAGCAGTTTTACTTTTTCTGTGTCAGTTTTCATGGCCTAACTTTCTTCACAATGTCCCAGAGGCTGCATCTGTTTACGTGGAAATAATAAATTCGGACAGTGAAGTTTCTCAAGGATAGTAAAACCCTTATATCTAAAGGTGATACCAGTAAGCGGGACAAATCGGATTTCCTTAGCAGAAGAAATTCATTTACAACTGGATAAGGATGGCAGCAATTTTCCTGGTTTCCCAAATGAAACGGAAAACCGAATTTAAATTTGAACTTAATCTTACCCACTGCAAAAGTAAACTAAGCAACAAAAAGGATGGAACCAGGTACAAGCAAGTGGGACAGAGAAAGGGAAGAAAAATGGTGATTTGCATGTGTATTTATTTTAGACTCATATTTCACTTTCACTTCTTGGTTTAATAATTTTTGTCTAGCTGATGTCACTTGCTCTATACTGCACTTCCATTTTAGTGAAGGAAAGGAACAGACAAATTAGCCTTATTCTTCTCTGTATTTTTGAAAATGCATTTGCATTTTGAAAAAGGAGCCTTCCAGACCTTTCTCTGTAAATGCAGTATTTCTTGAGGAGGTTAATCTACTGTTCCCCTGGGTACCAGCTAAAGACCATCCAATCCAAACTTAATCAGGCAATCAAATGCAAAAAGCAGAAGTTTCACAGGGCTGAAAAATGAAGGACAAGATTGCTATTAATGAACATTTTATACTACGAAGTGCTACAGTAAACTGTGGAAAATGACGGGACTGATAGGAAGAGAATGCCTTGTTTTCATGAACAACATAAATACCTGATGGAAACAAAGAAAAGTTCTTGTCACAAGAAGTAAACTTGAGGGGATGTCCTGCCCATAGGTCAGTCATTGTGCTAAATAAAAATGTGGCAACTGCATAATTTCATCTAGGTTGATTTGGTTCTCCCATGTGTTTAGTTAACTCAAGCAGCAAACACAAAAAAGGACCCTTGCAGCTCTATGAAGCAAAGCCTCATGTCAATCTACTCGTGTCACCTTTTCCATGGTGCATCAGAATTCATTTTTTCCATCAAATGTGTCACGTCACTTACAAAACACACAAAGTCCTAGCTCTCTTGGATTTAAAAATATGCTTTACTTTAGCACACCATGTTTTATCTGCTTTTAGGACAGGAATTCAGCATTTTTTAAAGGAAGAACTTATCCAGGAACACATTTTCAAATGCCACTTGCATGGGTTTGAATTTTCAGTGATCGTGTTAGGTTTTGTCTTTGAAATATCATATTAACATCCTGAAGCGTCAAACTCAGTGTCTGGGCTTTGAAATAGGACCTACTACAACAGAGACTTGATCCTGGATTACAATATCCAGCAGCTATTATAACAAACAGTAACTGATACAGAAATATAGCAAAGAGCAAATCCAATTTTAGCAATGTATTTAAATTGCCCTCCCCCTGCCCCCACCATTCCTTGATTCTAAAGCTGTGGAAACAATGCTAGGGTTTGATCTTCAAACCAAAACACAAAAGAAGAAAGCCTAAACAGAAAGGAAGTTGTTCTAAATCAGAAGCACTTGCTTTCCTCCAGAAAAATAAAGGTGTTATTGTAAATCAACATAAAACATTATATTTAATTTTTTACTGTCTGGAAACAATTTATCTTCTTTCCAGCTCTTAAAATGTATGTAAATATTACAACAAAAGTATTTTAGAAATGGTAAGTTTAAAAAAAAATGCTTTTAAGGAGGTTAAAACAAAGTGGTTTTGATCTTGAAACTTTTGTCATGTTGAACTGAAATATTTACACATTAAAAGAAAGGTACTACTCCATATTTTTTGTATCAGCACATTCATTCATCGATTAAACTCAAATTCAAGAGTATCTTGTTGGTCTTCATGAAACTGCCTATTTTTCATTGAATTTAGTGTTTCATAAAATTATGTAAATCTCTGTTTCAGCATAGTGATAAGATCTTTATTAAACCACTTCTGAAAGTATTTCTGAATTAAATGTAATTACAGTACCACAGCAGTTGTTGGTAGCAGGTTTCAGCAGAGGATATCTTACAGATATTATTTTGGTTCTGTATATAATATCTGAAAACATGACTCACTTGTACTGTGACTGGTCATTTCCTCCAACATCTGGAGATCTTAACTTCTGCAGTAAGATTCTTATAATACTAATGAAAAGTATAAAATTCACCTGCAAAGAAAACAAATATAATGGTGATTTCTTACTTCCTCACTCAATGTGCAGCATAAAGAAATGCCTATCAAGCCAGACACATCAACTCAGCAGTGGGTGTTGCGTGCCTCCTGCCAAAACACATCAAGTTCTACACTGTCAAATCTATTGTCTGTTTTCTGCCTCGCTACGTTTGTTACGTTCGGTGCACCTTTGCATGGCCACCATTCCTAGTCTAGCTGGCAAAAGCCTTCGAAAGCCCTAGTTGTCAGAATTGCCCTCCTTCCAAATTGTCAGCTGAAGGCAGGTTTCCTAGCAGAATGGGACACAGGATATGATTTAGTGCTATCAAACATTGGCTTAAATTCTTATTACTAGAATCCCAACGGAAAGTGTGAGTCTCATGCATGGTGTTGATCTCCTCCTGCCTCTCACCTTGACTTGTAATACTTTCTGACTGGCAGTGCTCAAGACCAGGTTGGATGGGGCTTTGAGCAAGCTGGTCTAGTGGGAAGTGTCCCTGCCCATGGCAGGAAGGTTGTACTAGATGGTCTTTAAAGTCTGTTCCAACCCAAACCATTCTATGATTCTATCATTCTGTGAACTGAAGCCATGCCCACTCTGAACAGTGACCGCAGAACTTGCTCTCACAACACTGTTTACTGTGGGATAATAACCTTACAGAAAGTATAATCTTCGAAGCAGTGAAAATTTTGGAGTTAACACAGAAATCAATGGAAGAGAGTGAATATGACATGAAGACTGTGCAGACTTCCTGTTAAATCTAATGTGGTTAAACCACTGTTCCTTAAAACCTTTGCTTGATTTCCTCTGTCTTTCAAAAGTATATTCATGGCATCATCCTCACAATCAGGCTCTATTCTACTCTTCACTCTTCTTCCTCCTCTTAAAGATTTTCAATATCAGCCACACCCAGAGCTTGCTTTCATGCCATTACATAAGACTGTCAATCAGAGTTCTCAGCTTAGTTGTTCTGCTCTCCTTTGTTTTCCTGAAATTCAGCTTCTTTCAGCATTTTCCTGTGTTCATCTCATTGATTATTACACAGATGTCCTTCCTGCTGCTAAAGCCATTTGTTATTGCAGGTCATCCTTGTCACCATTCTCTGTGAGTCTTCCAGTCTTCCTACATTGTTGAGCAGTCTGAAGGCACTGTGGGAATGAGTGTGAGGAAGCTACATCATACTTTCATTGAGAAAAATCATGACTCTTTCCGAATACCTCTCTCTTTCCCAATACCTATCCAAAGAACTTACAATGATCTATTTTCATCGTGGAATGGCAGGCAGCACTGACCTCATTACTCAAAGATTTGAATCTTCAACTTCTATTTTTCTTAGAAGGTAACAGGAAATGTTGAGGCTTATCATGGTGTATGTATATTGAAATTATGTTCTCATTAATGCTGTGGTTTTCACCCAATTTTACATGACATTTCATTAGCTCCTCTTGCTCTATGAATGCATGATCTGCAAAGCAGTAAGTATGCATGGCATCTTAGCTGCCACAATGAATGCGCTGGTTGTAGTTTGACGTTCCAACAAGACACATTACTTATCCAGCAGGAAAGGGTGAGTATCACTGCTTTTATAACTTCCTTTCACAGCTTAACTTCCAAAATGCAAATTGTAGTTGATCAAGCGGCTGAAAAATCATCTAATCAGAGAAGGAAGTGGCTTCATACAGTACACACCGTATAATCACTTGGCCATCCTTAGTTGCTCTCATCCCTAGAACATGCTGTGTAAGAGAAGAAACATACCTGGAAGGAGACAGCAGATGCTAAACATGTGCACCCAGCAACCCAAAAAAGGTCATCTGCAAAATACATTTATGATATTCTGGACTTCTGCTGACTGACCAGTACTTCATTTTCTTAGCTTAAAAATAATTTCTCAGTCTTTGGTAAGATCCAGCTGCAATTCAAGTCTGTCAATAAGAACTTGGATAACTTTAGTTTCCATGTCTAGGACGTCTTTGGAGAAGCACTGCTTGCTGTCACACGAAGTCTCAGCTGTCTACTATGTAGCTGTTTAAATTGAACATCCAGAGAATAGACTTTCATCTTTGTGTAAACATCAGGTAGTTTGTTTTACTTTCATCTTTCAGCGTATTTTTTTCACTCTAGACCATCCGTCATTCTCCAGCTCCTTTGAGGCACACTTTTTCTCTTCATGGTGTATTTCCTTTCCATGCCCACTGCTTCATATCATGAAGTATCTTTTCCATGAGTCCTTATGTCATTTCACACATATGCCTATTCTGCTTTCTCTTTAAACACTGGCACAGGTTGAAATGCAAGCCCAAGCATAATGTGGACTCTTGAAATCCTGTGTAATCTAATAATGCCCTAATTTTTCTGACTTAACTGTTAAAAATAAAGCAAGTGTATCTGAAATGTATTAATTTACACTGCAACTGTTTTCAGAAATAGACATATAACCAGAGTATATTATGTCCAAAGTAAATTAAACAATCACAGTGAACAGGAATTTTATTATGTTACTCCATAATTCTAATGAGAGCCACACAGAAAATCCCCAAGAAGCATTCTCAAACGTTATTCTTTTGCACATACTTAATGTTCAATATATATTTCAGTAGCCTACCAATTAAAGAAAGATATACACAGTCATAGGTTTTTATTGTTACAATAATATCAAATTCTCAATTGCAGGACTGTCTATTTACACACGAAACCAAATCTGCAATTCACTGAAGTATAATTAGATTTTTGCTTTCCTCCTCCCCCCGCAGCTCATAAACAAGAGATGTTAAAGAAAGGAACAACATACAAATAAAAGCAACTGCTCATTTAATTGGAGGCAGATAAATTCTGAAGGCAACGAATTTTAATGGCCTTGGCATCTGTTTAACATTTCTCCTACAGCACAATTTCTTTTCATTAAAACAGAATTCTTGCCTATCTGTAGCTAACAGTAAAGAATAATGGCTATATGCACTACACAATGCTGAACTGATCTATAATTCATGCTTCAAAGTTTACTTACTATAATAGAAATTAAAATTGGTATTCGTATAACCCACCAGGGACCACCATGCTCATTTGTATCCCAGCAACTATAAAAAAGAAAGAGGGAAAATGATGTTGACATTAATATCATCTGGCAAGCAAGACCTGTAAGGAGAAGTATTTCTTATATACAAGTCAAAACACACTAAAATAATGCTTGTTCTATCCTAGAATTCGGCATTCAATCTTTTTCTGCTTTTAGTTCCCTGGTTTTAATATGCATATTCTAATTAGCTAAAACATCAGGCACACTAGACTGTACCATTAAAAAATCATGGAGTACACTGGCCTTTAGGGAAACCAAGCTCAGTTTCACTTTGTGTAAGGACACTTTTCCTAAAAGCACTTAACACCAGCCTCTGGCTAGCAGGAAGATCTAAATCAACTGACAGATAAAAACTCAAATGACATAATTCCTGGTGGGATATTTAGGTTAAAGATGGCTGGAATTGGTTTAGAAGTATGTGAGGCTGAACCTGAAACTTTGTCTGAAAAATGAAAATTTAATTTTCACTGTGGGCTCAGCACTTTTCATCCACTCTCAGAATAAATGCTTTGAAAGATTAATCTTAAGCAAGTACAATATCCTTCAGAGTTCTTCTAACCATGATCATATTGACAAAGGAAAAAGGAGTTACTCTTCAGTTTACATGTTAGAGGTCTTGCAAAGAAAACTTAGAAATTATATAGGACATGACTGTTCACTTTAATTACAGAATCAATTGAAAAATATTTGTCAGGATGAAAAAAGGAGTGTGAAAAACATTTGTCCCACCAGCTAGGAATGTTCTCCCATGCCTCAGGGCCAGCAGGAGCAGCAAGTCTCATCTTCCTACAAAATTCTTCTCTCAGTTCCCCTTCCCATGCCTGAAGCCATGCCTGCCTCTAGTCATGGTTTTACCTGACTATGTGCACCTTACATATGTTTACATCACACTGCTTCACTTCTGGGAATACAGGTTAGATATACAGTAAGTTATCCAGATTTCAATCTTTTGAGCTTCTAGTTAGCAAATAAGAATGCCCAGCGCCATACTGGGCACATACTGGGTATTACAGCATTGAACCAAGGACCCCCACTGCCATTTTAAGTATTATTTTGGCTTTGAAAGCAGACAGCTTTAAATGTGGGCCTCAAGGGGTAACATTAGTCATAACCTATCTCTTTCCTCTCCTGCCCTTAGAGTTTTTCAAATAAAAAGCAAGCATAAGCAAAATACTGAAAAGCTCCTAAACACCTGTCCCTTTATTGCCATATCTGTGCTCATCCCCTTCAGAACCGCAAACTACCTTTAAGTAAACACCACTATACCCAACACAAGGGTTGTACTGGCACAGATGGAGGCTTTAAGCTTTCTCACCCCCACAGCTTACCCAGTGTCCTCTAAAATGATCCGTGTCACTGTCCATGTAATAATGAATATGGTAGGAATTCCTGAAAAATTCCAAAGATGTTTAGAGGATGATCACAAATATATAAGTCCACAAAATAAAACCAACAAAACAACCCCAAACCCAAAAACCAAACAAAACCCGAACATCCCCCCCCCCCCAAAAAAAAAACAACAAAACCAAAACCCAAGAAACAGTTCAGCCTACTAGTAACCAATTATCCCCCAAATACACAGCATATAGTAAACAGTTAGTAAATGGAAGGAGAAGCCCATATGATGTAAGCAATGTATTACAAAGATTGCAGGTTTCTTTCCTACAGATGCAGCCATAATGATTAATACACAAAGAACATGCCTTTCATAGGCATCTTTCAAGCTGTCAGAATGACCTACAGAGAGGTAGATACAAGTTATGCATTCCCAATGCACTTCCAAGGACTACAACATAAACCCCAAGTATAAATCATTTCATAAGGAACAATTTCCATACACGAGTTTATTCCCATTTCCCAGCAATACCTAAATGTTTTTATGACCACCTATTACTGGAAACTTTAAAGTGCTCCATATAAATATCATTTCACTTTCTGGAAATGAAAGGAATACATGTATTTAAAACTGGATGGACAATATTATTGGGCTTTTCAAAAGGCAAATGTCATAGCATAGCCCGTGGCTGTGCAACTAAACTTTTTCCTTCCTCCCAAATTAGGACAGCCTGAGTGGTATGTTTTGAATTGGCAGTCCTTGCACCATCCTATATCTGAACAAGCCCTGGGCATCATGAAGATTGGCACAGGTCAGAGCCATGCCAAGAGCATGGCTAGCAAGGAGCAAGCTAGCAGTTATGCTTCAGCAGTTTTGTGCCCACTCTCTCCCATGGTACAGTGTCTGTACCCTGTGCTGGAGCTCAGCTGAGGAACTAGTGAGTCTGACGAGTCATCCAACAGAAATGGTGTCACTACCTTGGTGTGAAATACTGAACCTGACTAATACATACATACATAGAGAGAAAAGTTGGAAAATGTTCCAGTTCTTACCCCATCCAATCAGCAGGTAGATTGTGAAATGTCTGTTGGGGGAGAATATCAGCACAAGGAGGATGTGGAGGTAAAGTCCTTCAACTAAGAGCCAGTAAAAGTTTGCCATAACACCATATTGAAAAAACACCAAAATAGCCTTGCAGCCCACCTGGAATAAGAGAATAGGGATCAGAGCTGTTGCAGGTAAGATGCTGTCTTATTCTGTTATTAATATAGCCTATAGATCTTAATTCTCCATGTAATGCTAGTAACCCAAATCCAGTAGAAATACTTTTTCTTCAGTCAAGCAAACTGAGACATTGTAAATGTTACTGTATATATAAAAAAGAAAATGAATAATTAAAAATATTTAGATGGCTCTCATAGCAAATTCACTCAGAAATTTTGAAAACTTCATAGCATAAATATTGTAAAAAGTGACAGTCATCAATAAATACATATATTTGCAATAATTCATGAATGACTATTATGTTAAATGATCATCTGCTAGGTGGCTAATAAAGATATTAAAATCCCAGGTGGCTTCCTAACATAGTAAAAATTAACAAAGAAACTGCTTTACAAATTTTTGAAGGCTAAATGGGAAATTGAGTGAAAAATATAACTTTACTTGATAAGTTGAAACGACTTTAAAAAATTATATTTTCCCTTTATAAAATGCTTTAGTGTTTCTTAATTAACAAAACACATAAGCATGTATCATAAAATGAGGTCCCAATATACTTATAGTCTGTGTGCTGCTCTTCAGAATTAATTTTCAGATGTCTGTGGTGATGATGTTCCACAGTGCTGGCTGCTGTTACTTCGTACTTTCCAGCAGGACTCTGAGATGTGAGAATTGAACATAATGTTTCTGCTGAGTCTAAGCTGTGAAATGTGATTATATGGTGAATGTAACAGACTAAACAATATGGACTAAGCACAACTTGTAGTTTCTGTCTGCTTTACTCCCTTCCCCATTTTTAATCCCCTTCATGCCTCCACCGTTTCCATTAAAATTCAAAGTACACCAAATAGCTAATAAGTAGCTTATTCTTTTAGTGATTGATTCCTCTGCATAAATATAGGTGTCTATTATAAAGTGAGATGCCCTCAGCACCCCAGTCACCAGCTGCTAAGCCAGAAGGGCACAGACCTTGAGATAATTCTCTGTATCCATCAGCCCCTTCTGGTGCCTCAGATATCTCAGTATATCCCAAGTTACACACATGCCTGTGTAGATGCCCGTATCATCAACTAAGTGAGAGTCCAAAGGCTTGGATTAATTTTACCTAATTTTAGCTGCCTAAAAAAGTCAGATTTCTGGTGAAACCTAGCCACTTACTAGCCAACTAGCTCCTTAACAGCTTATGAAGAGAGACAGGCATGTCCAGAGAAAGCCTTAAAGCAGGTGAGATAAACTGTCCAGTGAGGAAGACATAAGCCAGAGAAACAGTCATGTCAGTCTGTAAGACTAATCTTACCTCTGGACTCTGTATCCACTGCAGACCAGTAATGGTCCAGAATATTTAACATGGAGAAAAATAAACATTTCAAAATTCCAGTTGAAATTTGCTTTTATGACTACTTACAACCAGCTCAGGAGCCAAAGTCTAAAATTTTTGTAATCTCTTTTAAATTCTAATACTCCCCTCTATTACATTCTTGATTTACATACCAGAAACCCACATCAAAGTGTTTTCCTTTATATTTATATTTACGTTTATATTAGTCCATTGACTAATCTTTCACAGACTTTCGATTATCCCTGGCAGTCTGCCTACTAACTACTTTGCCTGCGTTGGGTCTACTAACTCAAAGCCTATTTGTCTTCACTAGAAATATCCCAGGTTACAAATTCATACATAGAGTTTAGTAGTCACTGCTAGGAACTTTATGCTCTGGGACAATATGGTTTCAGTGATATAAAAATATCTGCCTTCCATTTTTTTCTCACAAGCTTAAACTGCAGCAAATTAAATTCAGAAGGTATTCAGCAATATTTGTAAGATTCTTCACAGCACTTCTGACTGAAACAATGGAGGTAGAAAATGTGGAATTTCATATAGAGATCAGTCTTTTAACAGCAAGACTTAAGATTTTTCTAAACCCTGTACATGAAAATGCAGTAAGCATATTAGCTTGTCAAGAATGCAGATGACAATGCTTCCGTCATAGCCAGAAAGTATAGACAAGTTAATAAAGACATCTCCTACAAATATTTAATTCCCTGGCTCATTTCGCTCCCTCCATTGATAACTACCCAATTCCTAGACCCCTGATAGAGCTACTGGAACATTCCCAGACAAAACTGCCTTTAATAATTTCCAGCTGATGGCACTCCTGTTTGTCTTAAATTCTGCCACCTGATTAATGCAGTGGCCGTATTTATTCTAAGCTACAGCTGGTCATGATTTGTTTTGGCAGATGACATGTTGCTCCTTCATGGACATGTAAACAGCATTAACTTCCCTTACTTGTGTTTCAGCCTTCTTTCTCTGGCTACTTCTAATAGACCATTTTGCTAGTCCTTATATTCTCTACAGAATTGTCTACACTGACAGGTAAGTATTCCTAAATATTTACAAGGAACAGGGAAAAAAAATTAGTGACATAACAGTATTGTACCAGGTACCAAATGAGGTTTATTACCCATGAGGTTTGATCCTCTGGACAGTGAGCTGTGTTGGAGCTGGAATAGAGAATATCATCCTTGACTAAAACAGAGATTGCTCTCAGAATGAAAGAGAGGAACAGGTTCAGATGGATGTAGTTCCGAGTGCAATGGAGTTTTCTAAGAAGAAATTTAAAAACCAGCATTTTAGATTTTGAGACAGAAAGCTCTTGAACAGACTTCTATTACTCTCCAATCATTTCTTAGTTACGTGAAACCTTTCCTCCTCTGTCATATTGACAGTGCTGCCTTGCTGTTTTATCACCATCCTTATTGCTATTATGGGCTGTCCAAAATACACAAATAAAGTATCTCTTACTCCTTTTCAGCAGACCAAAAGATCCCAGTGGTATTTCTCCCACACTTCAAACACACTGACAATAAATACAGATTATTATATCCTGTGTGTGCATTCATCCCAGTGTTTTTCTTGCAAATAAAACTTCAGTTATCCTAGATATATTTCAGACATGCTCTCACTTATATTTTCTGCTTTAATTTTTAATTTAATTCTTGCATTTTGCTACATAATCGCTTTTCATCCTGTGATGTGACAGTATGTAGGAACAATTAATGAAATTGAACAAAGGAAACATCAATAAATGACAAATTAGACATTCCAAGTAAGTGCTCAGGGGAAGCAGGTTATAAATTGAGGGCTTTTCACTTAAAAGACATTCCCTTCAAGATCTTTCCATTTAACAGATTTTTTTTTTTATTTTTTTTTTAAATAGCAAATCCCCAGAAACCAAACTGTTAAGTGGTTTTTTGGTCAATACCAGCACCTTGAACTGCACCTGGAAATATGCATTTTAGCAAGTGCAAGCAATGGAAGAGTGAAGATGCAATAGGATGTCATGGTGGTGTGCAGTGGCAGCTTCCAAGTAGTCTTTGCATTTCAATTTCTACCAAAGAACACTGACTAATCCGCTATAAAACTATTAAAGCAAGGCTACAGTGAACGTAGGGAAACAAATAACACATCCATCTTGCTAACCCCCAGCTTGGCAGAGGACATAATACAAGGTTGAACTTAAAGCACTTGTCAAAAATCCAGTGATTTTTATGGCTATGCATGTCCTTTGCTGAAACAGGTTCTGCGAAAAACTGAAACACCACTATTACGCTGGACTGCAGTGTATGTTCCTATGGAATTCAGAAATACGTGCAAGGTGCAAATGGGAAGACAAAGTTTTTCTTGAGCAACTAATTTAGATTATTAGTTCTTCATCCAATTAAACAGCTGAAATAATAAATGCGGGAAGCTTTATAGCTTATCTATATATAGGGAAGCCTATATACAAGGCTGTCAAATCAACATTTTGGAGGTAGTGAGCAAGAAAGTATTTTTACTTGGCATATATGCGATGATTCAGAATAACGAAGAAAAGCTGTTCTTTAACAATAAAACAAAAGCTATCAAGCTTATTGCTTTGATATGACTACCTAATGATACATAATTACCATGTGAGGAACATTTACAGACAGTTGATATACATGAAAGCACATGATGGAGATTCGTATCTTTCTATTTGGTAAGAAACATGTATCACTGTAACTGACATTTGTTGGGAAGGTTTTGTTATACAGGAGTAACCCTGAAGGAAGTATAGTCAGATCTAGAATGTCAGTGTTATGTAGAAATATGCTGTTCTACAATTTATTTTCACTCTGAGCTGGAACAAACTAACCTTTTATAAAATATCTGAAAAACACTATTTTTAATTGTTTTGATTTCCACTTTTCTAAGACTTTTTATTAAAACTTAGACATTCAAAATGAAGAAATAGAAACCTGCACTCTAAGAAAGGTAAAGCAACTTCTTTTGACTAATTCAAAATTACTAGCTTTGCTGTTTATAAATTAAGTTTGCAGAAGCAAGCATGTGCCTGAAAAATTGGCAACCTCCAACAGGAAAATATTGTGCTGGAAAGTTACCAATTAGCTTTACTTATGATAAGTAAATAGAATATTATGTGGAGAGTGGCACCATAGTAACATGAAAAATGCTGTCAGCTTAGTCTGGCAAGGTATTTACAGATATTCACATTTTAAGTCTTTGTTTTGAGATTAAAAGATTAGCCAGATATAAAATCCTTTCCTTTTATAATGCTTCTAAATGTGTCCTTTATAGATATTAATAATAGGAACCCATATAATGTTTCTGTAAAGATTAAAATCAGAGCCAGTTCTTTGGAAGAAATGTGAAGCAGAACATTGCAACTGCATGGAAACTTTCAGAAACAAGTCTTCTTTCCACATGGTTCTGTCTTTCATATGCTTAAAGCTGATACCATGAACAACTGCAAAGCCCTGTGGCTGTACCTGTTCTGCCCGACAGTACATAACAATATATAATGGACTGCAAAAGTTAAGTTGTAGTACTTAAAAAAGAATTTCCACTTCCTTGTCATGAACACATTACCTCCAATTAAATTAAACTCACATTACTCCATGTTTTCTTTCATTAAAAAACCTGCACGTATTCAGGATTAAATGCAGTATAATTTGAAGCATACACCTGCAAATCCATCAATGCACAATTCTCTCTTGTGTTACCAGTATCCAGACTTGAAATCATTGGCTGCTTGTACATGCTTGAGAAACTATATACTGAACAGGGTATTTTTACAACTTATTTGGGTTCCTAGTTCAACTCACTGTGTTAGGAGGCCCCTACAGTCCCTGCAGATAAAACAGGCTTCTTTAGGGTGAGACTTAGAAGACCTTATGCTCCCCCCTGAAAAAAAAAGAATGGGTCTTTCCACTGCCTCAACAGAGAGATTCTATATTTAAACTGAAGTTCAAGGTTTAAAGTACACCTCTGAAATTCTTGATCCTTTTGTTATGACTGACTTCTGGTGATGGACAACATTCAGATGTCTGTAACACTGTCCTGTGTGCATTATTAGGTTTTAGCAGTTTTGAAAATGCACTATCTGCCTGTAGCATTTGCTGGTAGAAAGAAGACAGCCATGAGTGACTCAACTCTTTTTTTTTTTTCAAACATACTCCAAAATATAATTATAGGTTATGTATCTGCTCTGAATAGTCTCTGAATATTTAAATACTGACAAAATTTGATGGCAGATTGAAAGGCTTACAGAACTCGCCACAGGAATAGTTCATCAGAGGAATGAGGCTCTGACAAAGAACATGCTGTCCTCTACATTGTATGCGTACCTCTTTCCTACCAAATTTGAGAGATGTGTTTTCTTGGTTTACTTTGTGCGGAGTGGAACAGAAAAGTAGTGTGAAGTTTATAGTGGAGAATATAAAGGTTATTCTGTTAGACAGGTAGAAGTGATACATAAAGTGGAGAGAATGAGGAAAGCTATGATACTGATAATACCATTTTGCAATTTCTTTTACCAACTGGAGATTGCTTTAAGTCTCAGAAAACTCCCAGAAATTAGGCAAAACCAAGAGACAGTACTGCCTTTCCTAACGCTGTGTAACAAAAGCATTGCACACCCACCACTGCCCTTCAGTGCAATTACCCATACCTTTACAATCCTTCTTGGACAAATTAAGGATAACTTTGATTATAGTACCCCTGGAGACCACTGAGAAGCTTCTGCAAAATATCATTGCCCACTTGTCCAGTTCTGAAACCACCATCCTACTAATTTTCAAGAGCAATTCAAGGTGTCTATTTTAATAATCAAATAGAAAATGCTTTATATAATCTATTCCTAAATGACTATTCTTTCTTACATGCGTTCCAATGTCTGTAGATTTCTAAAGTGATTTGAATTTTTTTAACCTGACTGGTGCTAGCAAAAATCAAGTTAGCATTTGATTATCATCAGCAGTTTAATTGAGAAAAGTGTAAAACCAATGCTTTTCCTAACTATCTGAGCAATCAGGCAACAGTTAAAACCGTCTTACTGTTTGTATTTACTCATGAAAAATACATACCTGAAAAGGCAAAGAATTATACTTCCTGTTGTAAGAGCAATCAGAGATACGCTGTGTCCAAGGGTATAGATTGCCTTCACTCTTACATAGAAGTTGACCTGCACAAAAAAATATATATGCAGAAACCACTTACTGATATGTAAAGCTGACTGTAAAATGATGTATTTTTACTTTAAATAGCTCTGAAGGCTAAATAAATACCATTATTTTCACTCTTTGGTCTACAGTACATGATGAGAATGTTTTATCTTTATTCCAAAGTATTTCTGCAATGCAACATCTCAAGCCAATTGACTTCAGTAGAGAATTCAGCCTCAGGAACTCAAAACTTAAGACACACAAGCTGGTACAATTTCAGCTGATTATCCCATGTCAATGAGTCAAAGAAGACATCAGATTTATCAACTTCCATAAACACAATCAAACCGGGAAAAATGAGTTTGAAAGAATGTGTTACCTCTGAAAGACAGAATTTCTCTCAGTCCTTCTGCCACAGTGTACTTTCTAATGCATTTATACATACGTTTAATTTGAAAGACAGGTTTAAGTATCCACAATCTCCTAATATAAATGTTCAAATACTTTATTAAATTGTGACCCAAACAACCTTCTTTAGCAAAGTTATATGCTAAAACTTGGAAAGGAAATTTTTGAACAGAGGAAAAGAGGACTGAAGTGCACAGCCTGGTGATTAACTGCAATTATCTGTACATTTACCAGCTACATATTACATTAAATCCTCTACTGAATGACAACATCAAGAAAAATAATGCTAAATATTCTCAGAATTAAGCTGCTTCTTCATTCGTGCCTACAAAAAAGTCATTAGACTGACATTATCTTCCACTCAAGATAGATAAAATATTAAAATTCTGAATTTTTTTACTATGCTATGAAATTAAAGTTTTTAATAGCAGTGTAGAATGTGCTATGTATAACAGACAGAACTTTATTTTTTAGTGCACATGGTTATATCACTCACCTTCTCGAACAATGTTTCTAAAAAGTAGCAAGGAATCAGTACTTAAAAATAAACTAAGAGAGTAAAAGGAAAAGCAAATCACTTCATACATTTATTTTTACAGCATTTAAAACGCTACTTTGGGTACCCTCTTTCATTTATTCAACCTGACCTGCTCTGCAAAATGGTGGATAAAGGATGCTTTGATAAGTGACTAAACAATCTGCCAGTCTCATCTCCTCACCAACAGCATCCTGGAAGAAAAGGAATTCTATTTCCTGACCTTGTCCACATTAGGAGTTGCAAATACACTGTAAAGCTTAGCAATGATGCATAGCAGTTCTACAATATGTACTATTTGTTATCATCTTCTTGGCATTTGCAGATCCTACTTCAACTAAGTACATTTCTACAGAGTGTACAAATAGAAGATTGAATGGCCTCTAAATCAAAAATTCTTAACATGCACCATGTAAATATTGTAAATTTGAGGGAGATAAATGTCATTTACAAAAGAACTCACAATGGCAATAAATCTGTGCTGTTTAAATACGAAGTGGAAGATTTCTTACTCACTTTCATAGAAAAATATGATTTGCAGGCATACACTTTTAATAGTAACTATGATGTTGAACATCCTATTACTGCAAAGCAGAAACACAGGTCTGCCCAGGTATTCTAAAGCAATGCACACACCTGGTAAGAGTGCACAGGGACAACTTTACACCCTTCCATCTTCTTATGCTGGGAATAGTATACCAAGTTGCTTAACAAATCCCAACATAAGTGACTACTTATCCTGTATTTACATGAGGCATCGAAGATTCCAGCAACTACAAGAAGTAATTTCAACTTGCACATTTCCTTTCAACAACAGAAAAGTAGTTATTCTTAAATGTTTGACATTTTTGAGAGCTCATTACTCAATTCCTCAGCTTTTACCTGACACTGAATATAACATTCATTTCTCAAAAATGAGTCATAACATCCTTTGCTATTAATTCACCCAAATGGTTTCTGTATCTACTGCAGAGAGTTCATTTTAAAGCCTGTACTATGGGTATATCTCCTTACAGTTCTGAGTGACTAATCCAGGCTGTATAACACACACAAATGCATTCTACACATCTTACTACAGTATATAATGATTCAGTTAAGCTGTATCAGTACTTTTACATTTAATGTCTTAAATATCTTAAATCACAGACAGTCCAAAGTGTGCATTCTGCTGATCAGAATAGAATACCCTAACTCATAGATACTCATCTTCTCCTTTCAAACACATAAAAGAAAAACAAATAGAGAATCAGACATCACCTTTTGGTCAACAAAAGTTCCACTGACACAATAAGCAAACTGCACCTACTTGCTTAAATCTACTACTTGAGATGTCCTGGGGTATCTAAAACATGTGACAAATGACCTCATTGCTGGAATGGCTGTCGCCAGTCAAATGGCACTGGATACCTATGTTTAGGCAATCACATCAAGCCACTAGACACCTACATCTCTATATCTAACTTTAAGAATTTTGATTTGCAAGTTCATTTTCAGCCTTTCAGGTTTTAAAATATGTGGTAAGAATGCGAATGTAAACAACTGTTAAGAATTTTACGTGGTTGACTGTGTTGGCACAGACATGACTGAGAGATCCAAGAAATTTCTTCCAGAACCTGCTCTGATGTTCCAAACACAGCCGAGTTAAGTGCCCGCCAGATAAGAAAACCTGATGCATAAGGTGAAAGGATTCACATTCGGCTTTTACTCTGAATAAGTAAGAACAAATATCTTTCAGACATTTCTTCTGATGCTGTTATATGCAATTCAACAAGTTTGCTGCTTATAAAACAGTCACAATTTGTGTTATTATATAATTCTTATCTATTTATTGTATTTTTATTATGTTAATAATCCTTTAAAAGGCCCAAGCACAGCAGATCTAGAGAGATATATATTCTCATTAATTTCTGTCTTGCCTTGAAAAGTTTTGGTTAGGAAATATATAAATTGTCTGGTGCCAAGTATATCAAATTTATATCTGTTTAGTCTGCACTGCCTTTGCTTGGTTTTTCCCTATTTTTGCCCATCTTCATTTCAGAATGAATCACACTGCTCCTGCATTCTTTTCATCCTCTCATTCCTGCCCTGGACACAGCACCTATTATATGGTCATACGTTAAGAACACAAAATCAACCGATTTACAGATCTAACAATCCACAGTCACTATAGTCTTTATATGGCACGCACTAAAATGTTTATAGAAATGATTCTGGACCAGAGTCATTACTGGAAAATTGCAGTCAGACCAATGTTCCCATGGGAAAGCCTTGATTCTGCTTGTATGTTCTGGGTTGCTTCAAGTCAAGAACAATTTGAACTCAATATATTTTTTTACTTCCCCTCTTCTTGGAATCCATTACACTGAGTAACAACACTCAAATTTGTCTGGTTTATGTAATTCAATTGAGTATTTTTTCCATTTTTTGTGGAATAATTTTTTTTGAGATCTCTATAAAGTTGATTTTAGGAAAAGCAATTTTGCCTTCGTGTAGACGTTTTCCAAGCACAGGAATGCAGAGTTCCTGTTTGGTTAAAATAAAGTGCATAAATAAAATTAATTTATAATGAAGTGCTGGACAGTACAGTAAAGAAACAGATGCATTCTTAGCCACTGAAATTTGCACCATTCTCATTATAGGGGCTTTAATATGTACATACAGCTCTGTATGCATTCAGATGATGTATATTTCATAAGTCAGAAAATAACAATTCAAGTAAACACAACTTAAATAAAATTAAATACTATCTTTGACATTTCGGCTTGCTTCAAAACTACACAGGTAAACTGATTGAAGCTTTTGGGTAGCCAGTTTGAGCCTAGTGAATTTTTAATGCACTGCTTCTGCTGCAGTTTACATTTATTAAAGTGAGACACTGGTCAAAAGGAGTTCTCATTCTCACCAGATCTAAAATGAGCACAGAGCACACCATGAGTACAGCTCCAATTCTAGCTGCTGTGAACTGCAGGTGTTATTTTTGTTCAAAATGCCCTGTGCTTTTCTCTTAAAGGGTATCTTGCAGAAAACAGTACTCAAGAATGATTTCATAGTATGCTAAAGAAATCCAAGATGTCTACTTCAGATTTCAGCATTGGGTGGTTTGAAACATGCCCAATGAAAAAGTTCGACTTTTCTTTTTTAAAAAAAAAATCATTCCATACCCTCTTGAAAACTCTGTCTAGATTTGATTTCAAAAATCTCCATTGACTGAATCTTTTGAAATTGGACCTGTCTTATTTGTATCCGATTTCATAATTCTTAATGAAGGAAACTTTCATGAACTTTCTAACAAAGCACCAGTTACCCAGACACAGTGGTGTAACTGTGGCTCTGATTTAGCCTCTAGCTATGTGCTCTGAGCTTGACAGTAGCTGTCAGGCAGGCTGCATGTAAAATTACTCCCGTCACTTTGACCCACTAGGGAGAATAGAAGAGGTTGTCTTTCAACAGAAAAACCACATTATTTAATATAACGTTTCTGTACACACACATGACCCCTACAACAAATAGTCTGACTAAAATCAAAACAAGAATCCCATGTACTTTAAGTCCAGCACAATAACTGTTACTGTCAGCAGGACTGAATCTATCTGCTGGCCATTTATTTGCAAAATGGGTGAACATGAAATAGCTACATGGAGGTGTAAGTCAGGACTGAAGCTAATCAGCCAAGAGTACTTTGACATTACCTTAACACTTAACATTGGCCATAGTCAATTTGTTCAAAGTAGAAGCAAGTAAGACATAATTGTGCAATTGAAATGATTTAATCATACATCACAGATTTTTAATTATTCTCTATTCTGTACTTGCTATTGTGGCTAATGAACGTATTTCCTTCTTTCAGACCATTTTACAGGTATAGCGTTATAATAATTAGAAATCTTAAATGTTTTAAAATTTTCTACTGATCAAAAATTAACCCTGCTTCTCAAACTATTGCAAAGCTAAGTAAACACTACTACATTTTGAATCCATTACATCAAAATTATAATTATTTAAATATAGGTATTATGATTTTTAAAAACAAGAAAAAATTCAGATTATTAGCATCAAGCACTTTATGAGTCTCGGCAT